GGGCATTCGTTAACCTCCTCAATAGTACACAGGCCACATCAGCAGACAAAGATCTGCAGAGTTATTGCCACAACACATCACCATTAATGCAGCCCATCACAGCATTTATTACGACAACACCTCCCCGTCGGAACAGAGCCCCCTCACCCTGAACAAGGTAAGCTACGGCACAGGCTTTCGGCGGAAAGGGGGCACGTCACAAAGGACAGTGAAATGATTACCAAAGGATATAAGCAACAAGAGAAGCACAAGAATAAGGTTAAGCTTTTTATCTCTCCATCTTCTCCCCTACATTTTCCTGTTTTTCCTCGACTAATTCTCTCGCCGGAGGGTTCACTGGGGGACTACCCCGTTCCCCTTTGGACTTGCTTGCAGGTCATTTGAGGGAATCACCACCCGAAACCGGAACCTGAAGAACCTGGGCTAGCCTGACCCATCCACACGGGACGGACTGTATCATCATCACCACAATTGAGTAAGGGAATAATCCTCCTAACTTGACCGAATATTTTGTTAGATCTCCACATTGAGCTATCTGGTAAGATTGTAAACAAGTTAAGTCGAACTAAGTGATGGCTGTTCAAATTTGATTTACTTATCTTTCATGCCACTCGATCTCAAACAAGTTACAATTGAGCTCATCACAAGTAATTAGTTTATACATAGTTTCATAATACATGTAAACTTGTTGAATTGATGTAACTTTTTTTCTTCTTCTTAAACTTCCCATCTTTATACCCTTGCATTTTCTTGAGAAGTCTATAATCAACCAAAGTACAATAAGCTTGTGGCAAGTGAGTCTTGTTGAATTTTTTACCACATCCCATTAACGTGAATGAAATAGCAGGCACATACTAAAAAGAAAAATAACAATTACACAAATTTACTTCATTCAGTTCAAATTACTTATATTCATGAGAGGGAGACTTCATTATATTAATAAAATAAAGAAAGATGACAAAAATATTAAAAACACATACCATTACATCTTCTTGCACCCCTTAAATTTTGAATTTTGGAATCAGTTTTCATATTTTTTTTTTCTAAAAATCTAAATATTAATTTGATGAAAAAATTAAAAAATACTTATCATTTTTATATTGCCTTATCTTTTTGAAGAAGATAAATATTTTTTTTAAAATTTAAAAATATCTTTTGGTTTTTTGTGGTCAAACTAGTTTCTAGTTTTTCAAAATAATAGCAAAAAATAATTTCAGAAAATAAAACCAAACATGGCCAATTTTTTCATGACTATTCTCTCAATTTCATCAAAACCTATAATCCCTATGATTATTTATAATAGCCTACCTTTAGATAATCAAATCTTATCCATATTGAGTTTCTAGTAAATTTTGAACTCCACTATCCTAATTCAATTATATTTATAAATCACTATATGACATCCACATATATCATATGTGTAGACTAAAACAACACAATCTAAAATGCTGAATCCAAATTACTTAGGACTAAGCTAATAGTGTCTTTTGTAACAAAAATTACCAAGTAAAGGTTGCTGTGGCTACAAAAAAGGGAGAATAGAACATGCTTTTACTTTTGACTGTTGTTGTAAAGCAAATTAACATAAAGTGACTATTTTTTGGATAAGAAGAGAATTAGAAGCAAAAAAGGGCAAACACTTGGCCCCAAAGTTTAAGAGACTCTCATGGCTATCACATGCACCACCAGTGAGTCGTGTAGAGAAAGGGATGACATGCAAAACCCTAATGAATTGGACTTCCCTTTTATAGGTTTTGTTTGTTTATGGAGTTCGTACCACACTCTTAATTTACTTTAGTGTGGTGGTTAATCATTAGTTTTAACATGCTTATCATCTTGAAAACATTTTTTGTTTTGTCTAGATTTGTGCCCAAGAGAGTGACATTTGAGCTATGAATATGCCATAAATAATTTAATCCCTACTAAAATTATTAAGTAATATTGTGATGAACAAATGTTTGTACCAAATTTATATTTATTTGATGTGTTATCATTGTATTTGTGCTATGAATTTCATCTTTCCATCTATGAATCATGGATGCGGATAAGGGATATGAATATACAAATATGGTGATATGAAATTTCAAAAAAAGAAAAAGAAAAAGGAAAAAAGATATAAGTATATACAACCAAGATATGTTAAAAGAAAATTATGATTTTTAGTATTATATTATACATGAACTCAAAGAATAGTGAGAAACCGTTATGTAAAAATTAGATATTAGTTTAGGCGCCAATAATTCATTTTTCTACTTTTCAATAGATACGTTAATTTGATAAAATTTGAAAAAATTTTAATCTTACGATTTTCTTTTTGGCAAAAAAATAATAAAATATTGAAAAATTATTTTTGTAATTATTCTAATAATACTCTAATACATATGAAACTATTACAATTTTAATTTTATAGTAAATTAGATACATGATGTAGACTGTTCGAAAAGTATCAAATACTCTCAAAATGAACATCAAATGTCATATATGTTTACGAAACATCAAATATATAAGTATTTGTGTTTCGTAATTTTCCAGGCATCGTACCAATACATGTGAACGATGATTGGATTTATATGGTCTCGACTTGATTCGATGAACGATGTCAATGTAGTGTTGAACAAAAGGCCCTGTGATACTTTAGTTAGGCTATGTTTGGTATGAGTTT